CACCTGATGATTAAACACCCTAATGCAGTCTGGGAGAGGTGAGGTAAGGTTAGGTTAGGTCGCCTTTCCTGTACTGGCTCGGGCAGATCAGTAAGTCGTGTGCAGGTTGACAACACAAGACAATATCGAGAGGAATATCTACTGTTTACATTTTGTCGACTCTTGAATATTTTAAGTTATTCTCTTGGTCGTGAGATAAAGACCAACAAAGGCATCTGTTGTTGTTGTTTAAATAATAATAATATATATACTTAGGTGGTTCTTTTACTGGTGCTTGGTTGATGTAAACACTGATAGTCAACAAGTGTGTGTGTGTGGAACCATTAGCCAGGTTTTTAGTTTATTTAGCAGGACCAGGAGAAGTTTAGGCACCCACCCCACCATATATTTCTTATCTTCCCCTACCACCCCCTCCCCCCTCCCAATATCAATCACACCACCACGCATATCTGACCTACTTCAGGTGAGGCCAAGCCAAGGTCACCCTCATTACCCTCTTCCTCCCCTCTTTTATTACGTTTATTACCTGTATCCTTGTTATCCACGTCTCTCTCTCTCTCCCCCCCCTCTCTCTGTGTTACGAAGCTTCCAACATACCATATCACCCTCCTCTACACTCCACTAAGTTATAATGGCGTTAACAATCTGCACCTTTACGCCAACACTCAAATCACCTGGCCTTCTGAACACACTACCTTAAGCACCCATTAACACGCTGCGCCTTTAAGCCTTACCACCGGTTTTATGACGCCTCTACCATCCCGCACCTTTAAAAACGCCACTAGACGTTCCTAACTCCCAAAAAAGCTATTGAAATGCTCACTGTGCCTTTATACCCGGGGGATACCATTATGCACGCCTCTTTAATGCCATAAAACCCTCTAAATGGCCTATTTATTGGATGGACAGTAATTTATCTATCTTTGGCGTGACTTGGTGGGTGGGTAGTGGGTAGAGTGGATATGTGGGTGGGTATGTTGGATGGGTGGGTTGGTAGGTCCCTCCTGGTGGCAACATGACAGATCCTCACACATCACTAACCTATACTGAGATTCTCAACTAATTAAAAAAAAATACCCAATTAATTGTCTTTAATAATACCCCAACATTATGAAGGTTTGATAATTAAGGTAATTTATATGAGAGCATATAATAAACACACCAAGGACGGCATGAAAGACATTCCAGCATTATATCAAGGACAAGGACAACAGCTAAACGAACACACACACACACACTCACAAACAAATTCCTCGTCCTTATACAGTCACGACACGGCCACACAGCAGCAAGGACAATGTACGTACACACACACACACACCGTCCCTGGTATGACTGGAGCAAGGTGTCACGCGGGCCAATACGTGCATGACCTTCGAGGGCTCTGGCGTGACGAATTATAAATTGACACACACACACACACACACACACACATACACACACACACATGCACACACAGCACACACACACACCATTAAATTACAATCAGAACTTTTTCTCCTCAAAACCAAATTGGATTATCTCCACAAATCCAACCCTCCCGGACAACCATAGAGGAACCAGTGCTGTGTGGATTAATGAACTGGCTCTAAGGTCAAATGGGCCCTAGTCACTACAAGGCCCTAGTGTAACCTAACCTGACCTGACCTAACCTAAGGGAGGCTGAAAGTGGGTCCCATAGGCATGACTGCACACTGTATACTAAGCCTTCGGTACTGCACTCGACCGCCTTCACTTCCCCATTTACAGCCGGGTGAACTGGGAGTGCCCGGAGTCAAAGTCTGAACACAGTTATCTAAGACTTTATTCCACCCCCCACACCCCCTCAGGCCCCTCCCACACCCCCACAGTTCTCACATGGAGGTTGGTGATTGGACCAGCGGTGTGTGTGTGTGTGTGTGTGTGTGTGAAGGTCTCCGGATATGTCTGTGTCAAGCGAGTGTCCACCACCCCCGACACACTGTAGCTTCTGCCTCCTTCACCGCCTTCTGCCTCCTTCACCGCTTCCTGCCTCCTTCACCGCTTCCTGCCTCCTTCACCGCCTCCGTCTCCACCAGGGTCTCCTCTACCACCAGCACCACACCTTTAAAACTCGGAGCCACAACCACACAGTCTCCCTGCCACACCACCTCACCTCACCTCCCCACACACCTCACCACCCCACGTACCCGCCTAAAGAAAACTAACCTTAGCTATCTGACCTGACCTGAACTAACCTAACCTAACCTAACCTATCTGACCTGAACTAACCTATGACGCCAAGTACAATTTAATTAGGGAATGTGGAAAGGGAAGAGGAGAAAGGAAGGGGTAGAAAGAGTAAGTTGGATAGGAAGGGGAAGAGGAGAGGGGAAGGAGATAGGAGAAATAGGAAGGGAGAAGGAATGGGAGGAAGGGGTAAACCTCACCCCTCACCCCCTGCACATACACACACATTCTATCTCGGAAAAAAGGGGGAAGAAGAGGAGGGGGGAAAGGGGGTAGAGGGAGGACAAACGTGTATCCTAGTAGTCTCCCCAACACTCGGCTCCCCCAGGGTGGTGAGATCTCCAACACACATCATCTCGGGTTGTGGTCCATAACAGTCAACACTCAGGAGTTAAGAATGAAATATATATTGTAACTTACAAGGCTGACTGAACTAACTCTCTCTCTCTCTCTCTCTCTCTCTCGATGATAATAATAATAATAATAATAGGGTAAGAGGATAAGGAGGAGGAGGAGGTACACAAATTATGCACTGGAGGGGAGGGGTGAGGAAGAGAGGGAGGGGTGAGGGAGGGAGGGGGTAAGGAAGGAAGGAAGGAAGGGAAGGAGAGAAGGACAGAGCCGTCTCCACCACTTAACTGTACAGTATATAAAGCTACAAGTTTCCTTTAATGGTCCAGCCAGGCAGTTGTTCCTCCTCCACCTGCCCTATCCTACCTACCTGGTCTCCTCACCCGCTCAGAGACAGTCGATCACCAGCTGCCACTAAGCCATGTCCTTAAAACGGTACATTGTAAACGAATAAACAGATTAAACACGAGATATAAATATTCAATTAGTGTTTTCTCTCAAGGTAAATTAATGTAAATAACACAACTTTCACTACTAATAAATAACCACACCTTTAATTAACACACCTGCCACCATTAATTAACACACCTGCCACCATTAATTAAACAAACAACTAACAATAAAACGTGTATATTACCTGTGAAGGCCAGGGCGTTGACAAGGTGGTGATGGTGATCTATGATAGACCCTGAACACTCGTATACCTCACACAATGATATGTATATAGTGTAAACATTATACTACCTTATATGTAGGGTTTCATTAGATGTTTCTTGATCAAAGTGACATATGAAGTGTGATCTTATCTTGGCTGTCACTACGGTGCCCTCAAAACACACACACACACACACACACACACACACACACACACACACACACACACATACCTCTCTCTCTCTGCGTCGTGGTCATAACTCAATAAAGGTGGACATAGAGACAAAACCCTCGGCCAGGAACACGGAGATGAAGTGAGTGAAGCGACCAGTGAGGCTGAAGCAGGTGTGACCTTTGGCCAGCTGTGACATTTAATCACGTCACCTCGCTCACCCTCACACACCTGTCACTGTCACTAACTGTATAGCCTAGACTGGTGATCCTCCACAGTCAGTAATAATAATAATAATAATAATAATAATAATAATAATAATAATAATAATAATAATTACCCCCCATACACCAGTCATTAACTGTTATAATAGGTGATGTAACTGTAGAGGAAGCTTGTAAGTGCCTCAGCTTGTGTTATGGTAAAGCTTTAAGTGCCTCAGCTTAATGCGTTTCTGTATCTCACTGAATAAGGGCAATCGTACACCAGGGTCAGTCAGACAGTCACCAGGGCCAATCACCAGTCAGGGCCAGTTAGTCACCAGCAGGAACCACCACCAAGGCCAACATGTACTTCGCTCCCGTCTGTTTTTATATCTATCTGTCTTATTTATTCTGCCCGGCCACCTTTACTGCCACTGCTTAACGACCTCACAATACTGGTGCGTGTGTGTGTGTGTGTGCGTGTGTGTGTGTGTGTGTTGCTACCCCTCGAGACAACCTCCAGTCTCTTTATTTACTAACTGGCAACCTAAGGATCAGCATGTATCGTTCACCATTTGATAATTACGATGATGGTGGTGCTGGTGTTAACTTGTTAAAACATATAATTTATAATCTGGTTTAATGTTTGTTAATATTTAAGAGAGAGTGGGTATGGTGATGGGCAGGAGGTGGTATGGTGTGGGGGTAGTGTAGTGGCCACAATATCCCTTACAGGCAGTCAAGGGCGTGTGGTGTCGCTTTCAAACCTTAATAATTATTGACACATCTGACGTCATGATGCATTATTATTATTGTTTCTGTTGTAATGTTTACTATCCGTCAACCACCTACGAGTGTCTAATAACTGGTGATGATCTTCTCGTAGTGTCTGGTCAATTCCACCCCATGTTTGTTCACAACCTGTTACCCTTAGCATCAATATTTACAGCGGTGCTCGAGTCACTCCCTTTAACCCTTTGAGGACGATGGGTTAACCCTCCAGGACTCAAAGGGGTTAATGTGCGTCTTAAACAGGTATATATTAAATCAACACCAGCACGAGCCAACAGCAGCGTCTGGCGTACCTCTTCACTCCACAGTAAGTCGCCCTCGCTGGGAAGACCTACCTGACGAAGGAAGGATAGCAGCACCGTATACACACCTGTAGGGGAGAAACAAGTACATTAGTTATGACCTTCAGGTGTACACACGGGGTAAACTAGACTAAAGGTGACTTAATTATAACTACATCCACGGACACACTGGCTGCCCCTGCTGATGGCTGACGGACTAACGGTGATTTTACACTGTTGATATACAGCTGAAAGGTCAACAACAATGATGGTCTCTCTCTCTCTCTCTCTCTCTCTCTCTCTCCTGTAACCCTCACCATACAAGGGAGACTCACTCACCTCACGAGGCTGGTCCAACACGGCGCAGAGGCAATGGTCGAGGTATCCCCACTCAGGGCTAAGAGGATCTCCCCACCAGCGTCGCCACACACTCCCACACACCCCCATCACCGCCTCCTTCACTTCTTCATTAACCACTTCTACATGCACCTCTCAGCGCCTCCTCCACTTATTATCTCTACAGGAACCTCACCTGTTTATAAACCATTTTTACAGGCGCTAACACCACCCTCTCCTCCACCTCCAGATGATCCCGTAAACATGATTCACGCCGGGGACACCATAGCCACACAGCTCACGACCAACACACAACACTCCTGCTGGGGAAACCAAATCCACAAGAACTTCCCCCAAGGAGACCCGACAACGCACAAACTTTCCAGAAAGCGGCACGACCAACGCACTAGTCTCCTGATGGTGGTAAGAGTCGCTGAACAATTTCCCGTTGGAGACCCACTAGCGCACCACCTCCCAAACATACGCCGAAATTTTACTTGACAGCGTCGGAGGAGGACGACGAGGGGTCTGCCCCGCACGCCACCTGGGCGTATGAGATACTGGGGCAGGCAAGAGTAGAGGGAGCAGCCGGGCAGCACCAGGTGTGGGCGTGGGGGCGTGGGTGAACAGGTCTCGGGTTACACAGGTAAAGTGGCACCTCCCACTCACCACGTCCACCCGCCCAACTGTCAACATAACGTTTGGTTGTTGGTGACGCTACACCCACCACCACAACACACACTCACAACAATATTCCTTCTACGTATTACTGAAGCACTTGGGACGGAGATCACAGTGCCATTTGAGTCGGTATCAGAACACAAGTAAAAACCCCGATAATATTACCGCTTAACATTTGATAGTTAACTGGTGTTGAACTAAGCCCTAATGAGCGACCCTGACAGCTGCACTAACTGCACAAAAACAATAACAACAACCACCGCGTTACTGGGGCAAGTTTTTCTAACAATAAAAATCTCTGTAAACCCCGTGTAGGTAATGTTAGGATGAGTAACAATGATAACGTGAGATTTACATTGACGGAAAATAAGATGATGAGAGAAAAGGGAGAGACTGTGAGCAGCCGACAACTGACTCCTGGTACTGTACACGGGAGACACAATGATCACAACCTTATTGAAGCGACAACCAAAACAAGAAGTGTGTCAACCAAAAACTAGCTAGACGCCACCCGCAACAGCATGACCGATCACAAAAACCTACAACACTTGGGCCAGTGTGTGTGTGTGTGTGTGTGTGTGTGTGTGTGTGTGTGTGTGTGTGTGTGTGTGTGTGTGTGTGTGTGTATGTGTGTGGTATGGTATGTGTGTGTGTGTGTCTGTGTGGTATGTGCGTGTGTGTGTGTGTGTCTGTGTGGTATGTGCGTGTGTGTGTGTCTCTGTGTGTGTGTCTGTGTGGTATGTGCGTGTGTGTGTCTGTGTGGTATGTGTGTGTGTGTCTGTGTGGTATGTGTGTGTGTCTGTGTGGTATGTGTGTGTGTGTGATTTATGTCTGTGTGTAGACGCACCAGGAGTGGCTCAACAGGTATGCTGACAAGTACCTGCCGACACCTGCTTCACATATCTCACCTGGTCATTACCTGGACACTGAAACACGACTCTGAACCTAAGTCAACCCCACACCCCTTCCTCCCTCCCACTATCACCCCACCACCACACCCCATCCTCCCCTCCACTATCACCCCACCACACCCCATTCCCTCCCTATCCACCTATCCTTCCATAACGTCTATCTGGTGCTCTCCCATCACCTCGGGGTCCTGTAATTATACCCACGACCTGCGGACATACCCACGACCTGCGGACATACCCACGACCTGCGGACATACCCACGACCTGCGGACATACCCACGACCTACACCATATCCTCCGAACACTTCTTGGTACCCACGAGGACCATCCACCTATACTGTGGGTGCAGTGAAGTGTGGGCGGCAGGTGTGGCGTAAACACGGGCGTAATGACGAGCTAGGTGAGGGAGGCCGCCCGTATATGGGTGGGGAAGGTCAGGGTGAAGTGCGAGGGGCGGTCATTCACCTTTGTTGTGGTGGTGCAGGTAGTTATTGTGGTGGTAGTTACAGTGGTGTTGTGGTGATTCTCATACGATGGTGGTGGCATGATGATGGTGGCACGGTGAAGCATTTGTGGTAGGTAGCGACTGTTACTTTATCATGATTGTGGTAGCAGTCACCATGATCGTGATAGCGCCTGTAGTGGTAGTGTCATAATTGTGGTAGCGACTGTTAGTATATCATGATTGTGGTAGCAGTTCCAGCATCATGGTTATAGAATCACAATATAGTGCTGGCGACCAACAACCATTGAAATATTACCACAGACGAAGGCCTACTTTATTGTGCACCCCCATACGCATTCCGTGAGGTTACGCACACCCCCATACGCATCCTGAGAGGTTAGGCAAAGGGATGATTACAGCGTCGAGGCCACAAAGGGTGTTTATCAGTGGCCAGGATACTGTGACAAAGTGTTTAAAGAATGTTTCCTGTAGTGTTTGTTTACGATGAGTTAGCTGTTATGTCTTGAGGGTTTAGTATGGTGACTATTGTTTGAGAGAGAGAGAGAGAGAGAGAGAGAGAGAGAGAGAGAGAGAGAGAGAGAGAGAGAGAGAGAGAGAGAGAGAGAGAGAGAGAGAGAGAGAGAGAGAGAGCATGGACCCACACCTTATAACTGTACGAATTATTTGGGTATTGAAAGCTGGGGCGGAGAGAAAAGGACTTTCAAGTGGATGAGAAGGAAGGGAGAGGTGGGGTGGGGGAGGAACGGCGAGTCAAGTGTTTGTAACGATTAACAGGACGGAGTTTAGGTTCTGAGAAGGGGTGGAGGGGTAGAGGGAAGGGAGAAGGGAGGGGTAGGGGAAGAGGGAGAAGGGAGGGTAGGGAAGAGGGAGAAGGAGGTAGGGGGAAGGGGAAGAGGGAGAAGGGAGGGTAGGGGAAGGGGGAGAAGGAGGGGAGAGAGAGAGAGGAAGAGGGAGAGGAGAGGTAGGGGAAGGAAGAGGGAGAGGAGAGGTAGGGGAAGGAATGGGGTACGGGGGAGGGGCAGGGGGGGTGAGGGAGGAAGGGAGAGAGAGGGCCTACAAGCCAGTCTCTCAGGGGTCATGACCTACATAGTATACCTGTGTTGAGTAGAGGTTACCTGGCGTCTACCTGTGGGAAGTGTTGCAACTCTCTCTCTCTCTCTCTCTCTCTCTCTCTCTCTCTCTCCATTCACCAACGAAACCTCAACTCACAAAAACGTCTCGAGTACTAACAACACCACTACCCAAGACACTATACAGGAAGGAGAGAGAGAGAGAGAGAGAGAGAGAGAGAGAGAGAGAGAGAGAGAGAGAGAGAGAGACCCATGCCACCTCCAACACTACTATTATTTCTCTCCTTCACCCCCCCCCCTTTTCCCTAGGGTCAAGGGTGCCATAGGGGTGACCTCACGACCCCCAGGGGAGGCACAGCTATGTAGGTCATGGACGGTGGCACTATACAGTACACACCTGGCACCCCGGGGCACATAACTATGACTGACAACAGGCGACTGACAACTATGACTGACAACTATGACAACACCCAAGGCTGACAGTTGCGGCCTTCATACGCGGCTAAGAACGAAGGCTGACAATTATGATGAAAACAACAGATGGCAAGAATGGCTGACATCCATAGCTGATAAACCGTTTACAACCACGGATGACATCCACAGCTGACAACCAACCACCACATATGGAGTGATCCAGACTTTGAAGAGACACTCAAGTGAGAAATAAATACTTTTGACAAACCTATGAGCAGTGGTGTCCAAACCTTTCGAGGGCCAATTCTTATGTTAGTGACCCTCTTCAGGGCCAACACAAGTGCTGTATCACATATTGGCAGGATTTAAGTTTACAGCTTCACACATTGCCTTAATACTTGTCTCACCTTCAGTATGTCAAATTCACTTTACTAATAAACATGATTATATCTATTTCTTTTATAATTTCACGGGATGATAAATTTTACCGTCATCCCGCGGGCCACACCTGACCATCCCGAGGGCCACATTTGGCCCGCGGGCCATGCCTTTGACACCCCTGCCTATGAGTGAGACAGGAGACACTCAGGAGACACGAGGCACATAAAGAGATACTTACAGGTAGTGGACACACACACACACACACACACACACACACACACACACACACACACCTTTAACCTGAGTCACACTCCAGCAGTGACACTTTACCACCAGTCACACTCGAGCCAAGTCACACTCAAAACACAAGGGTGATGAAGCACTTGACTACAGGCAGCAGCCACTGTGAGGCATGTTGGTGCATGGCGGCGTCCGGAAGGAAGGAAGGAAGGAAGGAAGGAAGGAAGGAAGGGAGAGAGAGAAAGGGAATGAGGGATGAAAGAGAAAAATGTATACACCAAAAATTCCTTACACTCGGACACAATAGAACTCGGCGCTAATGTTGCATAAAAGACTTGATTAGTTTAACACACACACATACATACATACATACATACATACACACACACACACACACAAAAACACACACACACACTAACACACATACACACTAACAAATAACACAAACACACATATCCACATATATATATACACACATACACACGCACATACTGAAGTCTTTCCTAAGTACAAAATAACCCAAAAGACACAACTATTCGCCCTACTTAAGACATTCCTTACAAACACTTATAATCAATACTTACAATACATAAGTTCTCTCTTACGGGTTACTGTTACTTTACTTAGAATTACTTGTTACTTAAATGCAGTTCTTACTTATAGCAGTTGGTGTGAGACAGGTGGTGTGAGACAGGTGGTGTGAGACAGGTGGTGCAGGACAGGTGGTGTTAGTGGTAGTGCTGGTGTTAGCGATGGTGGTGGTGTCAGCAGTGTTGGCGTGCGGGGTCATCCAGGCATTCCACCAATAAACCCTGACCCGAAGCTGACCCATAAACCCGTCACGTCGAACCCGTGTACTCCTGCCCTCCAACACGACCGGTTCCTGCCACTACTCCATACGTGTCTGTGGTTCGTGAGAGGGGTTCGCGGTTCAGTGTGGTAGTTCGTGGGTGTTTAAGAGGTTCGTATGGGTAGTTCGTAGGTGTTCAGGGGTTCGTAAGGGTGGTTCGTGGTTGAGAGTAGTCGTTCGTAGAAGCAGGAACTCGTAAGGATGGTTTATTATTGTTCAAAGGACTCATAAGGGATGGTTCATGGGTACTCAGCGGTTCGATACCTGATGTTCGAAGCAGCAGTAATAGTCCGTCAACTGGAGTCAGGAACTACAGGACCGTGCCAACAGTTCAACCCTGTGACATATGTACCAAGTTCAGCAGCACAAGAACCTACAGCACAACCCAACAGAAACAGCTGACCTTCACACCATTATGACAACAACAATTACAATAACAATGACAATAACAATAACAACAACAATGGCAAAAACAACAACAATGGCAACAATGACAACAACAACAACAATGGCAACAA